TGCATATGACAGATTGATAAAAAGACATGCTATTTATGACTGGATGTAACTTTTGATACTTCGCGGTAAAAGTGGCTCTCCGATTGACTTTGCCCTATCAGTGCGGCTCCCATGAAAAAAATAGTGAAGACCACTGGTCTACAGTATCATTAACTCACTCTCTGGATCTTGCCCAGGTAGTAAAGGCCGTCAGACCAGCGACACAACACGTACTGGCCCACGGTCAAGTTGGTCTCCTGGTCGCTGCAGGTTTTCTCTCTCTTGGGAAGCAGGTGCTTGGGTTCTCGAGGTTCCGACCTGACTGTCAGATATCCGTCCCGACAGGCCGATTCCAACATGCTGACAGTAGCCACACCCACACTTCCTGTTAGTAAGAGCACACAAATCATGGATAATATGTAGATTACACAAAGTTTATCACATGTGATGTTTCCCAGTGGAATTATTTGCATAATATTTCATACAAACACACTCTTTTGGAATTTTTAGGTGTTTTTCTATGTAAAAATGGTTTAAATATGAAAACCTCGGTGACCACATATCTCTATATAGAAACTTAACCAAGGTTAAGATTGACATAATAAAGGGTTTTTCCCACTGGTCAGTTCACTTGCATATACGAATAAACACTCTGGAAAGGCAGCAAAAAGACTAAGTCAGTCTATTTCTCTTCCTGTTGTTTTTAAATCTAAATTAGCCCAAAATATATTTATAGATGGAAAAAGGTTCTAAGGATTTATATGTGCAATTAATCGATAAGCATAAATGCAGAGCACCATCAATCTAAAGGCATGGCTCATTTAACATAATTAAGGCTTTAAAAACATGACAGTCATCTAGTTCTCAGGGAAAATTATTGGAATCAACACAGGGGATAGTTGCAGCTTTGTTCACTTATTAATGTGATAGTAAAAATAGGAACTTAAGTTCCTAAACCATTTTTTTCTTATACAGCCCCTTCAATAACGCTCAAGTACCCACCAGTAATGTGTCCTTTTAACTCTCATTATAATTATACACTTTAGCAAAATAATTAATATTGTTATATTATTACTTATAATAAGGTTTTTGATTTATTTTTCTTATTTACTGAAGTCTTGTGACGTTCAAGGACTGATTACAGCATGAGCAAATAGCATTCGATTAACAGCTGTGAAGATGCAATATGATTGGCTGGACCTACTGTAAGAACACGCCCCCTTTAAAGAACGATTCACCCTGCGTCTCAATGTTCATACTATCCATCCTAAATAGTATGTGAGGTTAGAATAATACGATTGATGGTTAGGTAGAGAAGTTTACAAAAAGGGGTTTGAGTTACTAGTAATCAACATTTAACCTGGTAAAAAATATTTATTTATTGTTATCCGTGTTATATTTCATCTGCAACAGCAATGTGAACTTTTATAAACATCCATTTGGTCGTTAACTTTTAAATGCATCATTATGCAGAAAATATGAGCAGAGTTCTAAGCATTAAAGACCCGTGACTGGCAGATCAACGAGCTACTTCTTTTCTCTCTAGTACGGTAGGAAGTTAAATGAAATGAAATGTGGAGGATGTTAACTGTGACAAGATGATTGACAGGCCAGTTTACAGTGGTTTTTGTGTTTTGCTTTGGTACCGAAATTGGTACCGAGAACCGTGGATTTTCACTGGTATTGGTACCGAATACTGAAATTTTGGTACCGTGACAACACTAGTCCCAAAGCTTGCCTACTCTTCTACACTCAAAAGTGTGTACTTTTGCTTCACCAAAAGAGTACATACTCAACCCTCTACGGACCCCTTGGCAATTTAATCGCCATTGGCTAGTAAATTTTTTAGTTTACTCGCCAGACTGATATATATATATATATATATAAATTCCTTTTAACTCAACCATGTGTTATTCCTGCTAATTTTTTAACACACCAATGTGTTATTATTCATTAATCATTTGCAACAAATCAAACAAAGAAAAACAAAACTCGTTAAAAATGAGTTCTCTCCAGAAAGTGAGGGACAAACTTACCAAAGTGTACGAGGAGAAATAAAAATAATTTGTGAAGCACTAACGTTAACTATCAGACGCGGTTGCTGTCTTGTTCAACACCGCCTCTCGCGTCTACGGAAAATACCCGTAAGCACGAGAGGTCGCTAACTAAACGCACAATTGACCGTCTAAAAAATAACAATAATAAAATACATTTGACAATTTGTATTTGACAATTTCTACAATTTCTAAAATCGAAATACCTGACGTGTGCATCCAAGCCATCCACCGATGGAAAAAGAGGCGCGAACGGCGCGAACTCCGCGCGGAGTGACGTAGCAGCAATGTGATTGGATGATAGTTAACACATATTGTGTTGGACACTGTGTTGTTCCTTTTCAGTCGGTCACTCTCGACGTCACGTCGGATGACCGACGAAATTGGGATCTCGCTTAGAGAGACC